TTCAAAAAGTGTGTAGGTTAAGTAATGCACTTAGTAGTCCAAAGAACATCAGACTCACAAATCTCACCCTGTGAAGTTAATTTTCAGCTAGGGATTTGGGCAGAATTTATACTCAGATTATTCTTACTTTTTCTATGGCTCCCTTGCTTCCAGAATTTCTGCCCTAAATTTCCAACTGCTCCATCTCCCTGAGCCCTTCCTTCTGCCACCTTGAGGTTATAAAGCTGCGGCTGTTTGCTTTCAGATCTGGAGGGCTGGCAATTTTGGGAGCACCCTCAGACAAAATAAAATGCTACAAATCCTACAAAATCTTCATCCCCCTTTGTAATTCCTCTCTTCCACCTGCCCCTCCTATCCCTCCTTGTCCTCAGCCCCTTCCACAGGCAACCACTAATCTGCTTCCTGTAACTACAGGTTTTCATTTTTTAGAATTTTATGTAAATAAAATCATACAGTATGTGTTCTTTTTTCTCTTATTTCACTCAGCATAATTTGAGATTCATCCGAGTTATTGCATCAATGGTTCATTCTTTTTCATTGCTGAGTAGTATTCCATTGTGTGGATATACCATAATTTGTTTATTCATTCATCTTTGATGGGCATTTATTTTCAGTTTTTGGTTATTACAGGTGAAGCTGCTGTGAATATTCATATATAAGTGTTTGTATGGCCATAGGCTTTTGTTTCTCTTGGGTAAGTACCAGGAGTGGAATGGTTGGGTCATGTAGTTGCTGCACATTTAACTTTTGAAGAACCTACCAGTTTTCCAAAGTGGATGTATCATTCTCACTGGCAGATTATCTGAGTTCCAGCTACTCTACATCTTCAACACTTTGTATGGTCAATCTTTTGAGATGTACACGTTCTCATAGGGGTGTAGTCTATCTTGAGGTTTTAATGTGCATTTCCCTAATGATTAATGAAATTGAGCATCCTTCTACGTGCTTATTTACCAACCAGTTTTCTTCCTTGGTAAAGTGCCTATTCAAATCTTTCTAAAATTTTTAAATTGGGTTGTTTGTTTTCTAATTAAGTTTTGATAGTTCTTTATATATTCAGGACACCGGTCCATTATCAAATATGTGATTTACAAATATTTTCTTCTAGTCTGTGGCTTGTCTTTTTGTTCTCTTAAATTGTCTTTGGAAGAGCAGAAGTTTTTAATTTTGATTAAGTCAAATTTATCAGTTTTTTTCTTTTATGGATTACCTTTTCCGTGTTGTGAGAAATCTTTGCCTACCCAACAGTTTTCTTCTAGAGGTTTTATAGTTTTAGGTTTTACAGTTAGGACTTTGATCCACTTTCAGTTGATTTTTGTATAGTTTTAGGTATGAGTCAAAGACCATGCTTTGCGTTTAGATTTCCAGTTGTTCCATCACCATTTGTTGATAAGACTATCTGTTCTCCACTGCATTGCCTTGCATGTTTGTTGAAAGTCAGTTGTCCATATTTGTGTGGGTCTGTTTCTGGACTCTGTTCTGTTCCTTTGATCTACTTATCTGGATGCCATGCTGTTTAGCTGTTTTGATTACTGTAGCTTTATTAGAAGTCATGAATCAGGGTGTTAGTTCTTACTTTTGTTCTTCTTTTTCAAATTTCTTTCGGTTATTCTAGGTCCTTTGCATTTCTACATAAATTTTAGAATCAGCTTAACAGTTTCTACAGAAGAGCCTGCTGGGATATTTGTTGGGATTGCATTGAATGTATGAGTCAATGGAAAGAGAATTGACATCTTAATAGTATTGATCCATAAACATAGTATACCTCTTCATTTATTTAGACCTTACTTTAATTTTTTTCAGCAGTATTTTATAGTTTTCAGTGTACAGGTCCTGTTCATCTTTTGTCAAAGTTATCCCTAAGTATTTAATATTTTTTTATGTTATAAATGATACTGTTTCTTCCATTTCAACATCTGACTGTTCGTTACTTACATCTAGAAATAAAATTAATTTTCATATTTTGAGCTTGTATCCTGTAACCATACTTATTGGTCCTAATAGCTTTTTTGTAGATTTCTTAGGCTTCTCTGCATAGATGTCATATCTATGAATAAAGACAAATTTCTTTTTTTCCAATCTATATCCCATTTATTTATTAATTTTTTCATGCTTTATTGCCCTAGCTAGAACTTTCAGTATAATGTTGAATAGAAATGGTAAGAGTAGACATACTTGCCTTGTTCCTGATCTTCAGGGAAAAGAATTTAGTCTGATTTTAGAATGTTAAATCAACCTTGCGTTCCTGAAATACATACCACTTGGTCATAATTTATTATCCTTTTTATATATTCTTTGATTTGATTTAGTTTAAGAATTTTTGTATCTATGCTCATGAGGAATATTGGTTTGTACTTGCCATTTCTTGTAATGTCTTCATTTTGTTTTTTTAATGATTTATTTTTGTTGTTGAGAATATACACAGTACAACACACACCTATCCAACAATTTCTATATGTACAATTCAGTGACAGTTGATTACATTCTTTGAATTGTGCAACCATTCTCACCCTCCTTTTCCAAGTTGTTCCAACCCCATTAACATAAACTCACTGCCCCCTAAGTTTCCTATCTAATCTTTTGAGTTGCTGTTGTCAATTTGATCCCATGTAGATAGATCTCAAAAGAGCACAAAGCTCAAGGCAGACATTCTTCACTAGTACTAGTTAAGCTAAACTATTGTTTGATTTTAAGAAGACTTCAGGGTATGTTTTTGGTTTAAGGTTTAACGATGATATATCTCAGGGCGGTAGTTTCAGGAGTTCATCTAGCCTCCATGGCTCCAGAAATTGTGGATTCCATGAGAATTTGAAATTCTGATCTGCATTTTCCCCCTCTTGATTAGCATTCTTTTATAGAATCATGTCTTTGGGAATGGTTTTAGTTCCAGATTAACAGAGAGTCTGGGAGCCATGTCTTCTGGGGTATCTCCAGTCTCAGACCAGACTTAATGGTCTGTTATCCATTGTGCTGTAGACGTCTACATGTGACTTTTTAATGCCCCGTGATACAAAGAAGGAACCTGTGGTGGTGCAGTGGTTAAGCACTCAGCTGCTAACAAAAGTCAGCAGTTTGAACCCACCAGCTTCTCTTTAGGAGAAAGATATTCAGTCTGCTTCTGTAAATATTACAGCATCGAAAACCCTATGGGACAGTTCTACTCTGTCCTATAAGGTTGCTATGAGTCAGAATCAACTTGACAACAACAGTGTAATACAAAAATAAATTAGTACAGAAAATAAAGAAATGGAGAGGGCAAGGGAATGAAGGTGGCAATAAAAAAAGTGACAATAAAGATAGGAGAAATAAAATATACATAATGAAAGTGATAAGATTATTACAGAAAACATAAGATATAAACTACTTATGTCCTATGATAAAGTCAGTCCAAAAATTTACAGAGTGTCCTAGAAGCCATTTCAAAGAGATACCTGAGCAGTTGCATTATTTACCATATCCATAAAAAATTAAACACACCCACAGGCTTATACATACAAATCCTAGTTCAGAATAAGCTCTGCTAGTACTGTACCTTGAAAAAAAATTCCCTTTCCATCCTTATAAAAAAGTCACAGTAAACTACCTACTCCACCATCCCTAAAGTAACCATAATAATGAGTTTCAAAGTTGTGTCACTTTTAATATTCTTCAGTATAATCAAAGCATGATTTAGTAAAACCAGTTCTAGAAGTACCAAATGATATGGTCCAAGTACACTGCAGTACTTTATAAATTTTATTTCCCCCAAACTTTTTATAGGTATTGGTAGCAGAGAGTTCAAAGTCATAATCTAATACAAGAACCAGGTATATAGCTATTTTATGTTCTTTGCTAAGAACAAGTCTATATAGTTTAACCTGTTCAAAGCAGTAAGTAAGCTAAGTGGTAAATGTGGCTGATATATGCATATGAAATCTAATGAGCTACTGACATTATCTGCCAATTAAACAAGTGCTTATTGGGTCCCACCACATAAAAGGTAAAATACTGGGGATGCAATGGTGAACTTGTCCCTCACCCTCCCAAAGCTTAGCGCTATTGGGGACCACATGCAATATAATAGATAATTACAGCAATAATAAAGACAATACACCTACTCCTCGCTTATTGACTATCTCATTATCTGACATTTCACATTTACGACAATAGTAAAAAAAATCTATTTTGCGCATTAACGCCATACGTCTGGCAGTAATGAACGCTGAAGTGCGAGGTGAGAGTGACGCTGGCTGTGATGGTTATGTGTCAGCTTGGCTAAGCTATGGTTCTCAGTTGTTTGGCAGTTGTGCAATGATGTAATTTGGCAGTTTTGCAATGATATCGTCATCCTCCATTTTGTGATCTGATTGTGGTCATCTTCCATTTTTGCATAACGCCAGTGTTCACCTAACAACCTGGTCTTTGGAACCTAACCATGTCGATAAGTGAAGAGTGGGTGTAACGACTGCCTGCTGGAGAAGAATGTAACCTGCAGTAAAGTGTCAGGAAAGGCTTTTCAAAGAAACCAATTTCTAAGCTGAGGCCTGAAGCAGGAGTTAGCTTAGAGTTTCCAGCCAGAAGTCAGCAGTGATCCTCAGTCTCCTGTGGGCTCATCTTCCTTAACTCAGCCATTAAATGATGGAGCTACTCAAGGATCAGGACACCCTTTCATCTACTCAATGACAAGGCAAAACAATCTAAGTCTATGGCTTCAATTTTTACTTACATGCTGATAACCAGGTAACATGATGAAAACCATTAATGTGTCACTGTTCCCAAAGTGTTCCCTTACTTTCCCTAAGCTGTCAAAAGAACACCTGCTTAGTGACTAGGAGCCCAGAGACCACCTTTTTGTTTCTACGGGCAGATAATACCCAAGAACATCCGACATAATGGTAAAGATAAGCTGAAGAGTCCCTTCATGAATTAAAGACTAATACGGAGGCCTATGCGTGAAATTTTTAAATATCTGAACAAAGTATGCACTCGTCCTCAATTTTTTATTCTCTTTATCCTTTCAGGAGGCAGGAGTCAAAATGAAATGGAGACTCTTCAAGAAGCAGGATTAAGGTGCCTTTCACTGAGAGAAGTTTCATGCTGGCATATCAGGGGACATGTGAGCAAATTAACTAGAAGCCAAGACTCCATGATGAATATTCAAGGAAGGATTGCTCAGTTTCCCAAGCAACGTGATTCCCCCTGCCAAGCCGGGGCAGAAGTTTCTGAAGATGACAACTATATAATGAATTTTATAGAGGATGATTCCAATGTTATTGAAAATCAAGAATTTCCAACTGGGAGAACTCAGAATTGTTGGAGTAAAATATATCTGAGTAAGACTCAGAATTTTCAGGGAAGTTGTAAGCAAACTCAAATGAAAGACAGATTATGTATATTTACTCCATGTGTTAACATTTTCAATTGCATTTCACACCATCATGACAATATAGTGTGCAAACGAGATAAGACTTATAGCAGCAATGATTATGGTGAGGACCTCTTAAAGATACCACCTCTTAACCAGCGTAGTATAATTCTCACAGGACAGAAAACTTACCAGTGTAACAAATGTGAAAATGCTTTCAGTGATCGCTCAAGCCTTGAACTTCATCAGCAGGCACACTTGGGAAAGAAGTCCCCTACGTGTAGCACACATGGAAAGGACATCAGTTATGGCTCAGGTATTCCATATCAACAAAGTGTTCACACAGGGAAAAAACGCTATTGGTGTCATGAGTGTGGTAAGGGTTTTAGTCAGAGCTCAAATCTGCAAACTCATCAGAGAGTCCACACAGGAGAGAAACCCTATACATGCCATGAATGTGGTAAGAGCTTTAACCAGAGCTCGCATCTTTATGCTCATCTGCCTATTCACACAGGAGAGAAGCCCTACAGATGTGACAGTTGTGGGAAGGGCTTCAGTCGTAGCACAGATCTTAATATTCACTGCAGAGTCCATACTGGAGAGAAACCTTATAAATGTGAGGTCTGTGGGAAGGGCTTCACTCAGAGATCACATCTTCAAGCCCATCAAAGAATTCACACTGGAGAGAAACCATATAAATGTGGGGATTGTGGTAAACGCTTCAGCTGTAGCTCAAATCTTCATACCCATCAGAGAGTCCACACTGAAGAAAAACCATACAAATGTGATGAATGTGGTAAGTGCTTCAGTTTGAGCTTTAATCTTCACAGTCATCAACGGGTCCACACGGGAGAGAAACCCTATAAGTGTGAAGAATGTGGTAAGGGTTTTAGTTCAGCCTCAAGTTTTCAGAGCCATCAGAGGGTCCACACAGGAGAGAAACCATTTCGATGCAATGTATGTGGTAAGGGCTTCAGTCAGAGTTCGTATTTTCAAGCCCATCAGAGAGTCCACACTGGAGAAAAACCATACAAGTGTGAGGTATGTGGGAAGCGCTTCAATTGGAGTTTGAACCTCCACAATCATCAAAGAGTCCACACAGGAGAGAAGCCCTATAAATGTGAGGAATGTGGTAAGGGTTTCAGTCAGGCCTCAAATCTTCAAGCTCATCAGAGTGTCCACACTGGGGAAAAACCATTCAAGTGTGATGCATGTCAGAAACGATTCAGCCAAGCCTCACATCTTCAAGCCCATCAGAGAGTCCACACTGGAGAGAAACCATATAAATGTGATATATGTGGTAAGGCCTTCAGCCAGAGATCAAATCTTCAAGTCCATCAGATAATTCACACTGGAGAGAAACCATTTAAGTGTGAGGAGTGTGGGAAGGAATTCAGTTGGAGTGCTGGTCTCAGTGCTCATCAGAGGGTACACACGGGAGAGAAACCGTATACGTGTCAGCAGTGTGGTAAGGGCTTCAGTCAGGCCTCACATTTTCACACACATCAGAGGGTCCACACTGGAGAGAAGCCATACATATGTGATGTCTGTTGTAAGGGTTTCAGCCAGAGATCACATCTGGTATACCATCAGAGAGTCCACAGTGGAGGTAATCTATAGAAATGTGAGGTGTGATATAGCCTTCAGTTAGAGTTCACATCTTCATCTCCACTGGAGAGTCCATGCTGATGATTGTGGAAAGTGATAACTTGAGAACTGAGAAGCTTCATCAAAGAATCTTCATAGGAGAGAAACTCTATATTGTGTTTTAAGAACTCGGTTGGAAGATGAATCCTTTATAAACATCAGATTCCACAGAGAAGAAAAAAACCTGTTATAAATATGGCCAGTGTTTTTGCTAGAGTTTGAGATGGCCCAATTCTCAATATAGAGTCTACTCAGGAGAGAGGACATATAAAGAAATAGTATGGGAAGGACTTTTACAAAAGTAGAATGATGGACAAAATGCCACTAGACTGTAACCCCCATTTAGGGAGGAAATTTTTCACCATTCTATCTCCACCATGAAAAATAGTGCCTGATTTGGTAAAGGGTACCCAGCAATTAATAAAGTGGAGAAAGAGGTTACAATTAAGGCAAATATTTGAAATTTTTAGTCAGTTCCCTGCCCTAAATTCATATTAAATTAAAAGGAATCCTGCAAGTATCCTTAACAATAATTGAAGAAATAACTGAAATACAAAAGGCATGTAATACTGCTATTTACAATAATACAGATTTGGGCAAAAGACTTGTGAATGGCTTCCTTCATCCAGTTTCACTTCTGTGTACTGTATTATCAATTGTGAATAGTATAATTTTTAATATCATTAGTTTGTATTTTATAGACTTTTTTACTGATTACAATAATATACTGGAATTTACACAATTGAATTTTTGGACTCTTAATTCATTAAGGTAGGGTTTTACTGTAACTCTTTGAAAGTGTTAAAAGTAGTTAATGACAAAAAGTTTCTTAGTAAACTTGAATTGATAATAATTGGTTTCTTCTCATTTTTTATACTCAGGCTTAGGTCAAGTTGCCCTCTCTGCGGTAGTTCTTTCTCCCTCCAGACTTCCTAAGCCAAGGACTTTGGCAAATTTTAAGGGCACTAATTTTGTCACATGCTTCATCCCCATTGCCACCCCTCCAATTGAAGAAGGAACGTCAAATTTCGATTAAAACTATTAAGTGTAAATCCATTTAGATAGCATTCCGTGATGAACATCTTCTCTTGGTAGGAGTGAAGAACAGGAGCTTTTTGAGATTAGTTGGTCAATATGTATCAAAATACTCTGACCTGGTAATCCTAGCACTAGAAGTTTTGCTTAGGAGATAATAGCAAAAGTGAAAAAGATTGTATGCAAAGATATCCTAAAATTTAAAAAAGAGGTAAATATTCATCAGTCAGTAAAAGATTGGGTAAATTTTTGTATATTCCAGTAATGTGCAGCCATTAAAATGATGATAATACACTTATAGTGACAGGAAAGGAACTCACTTATTCATGAGAAAACAAGGTTAGAGCCTTACTAGTACAATCTAAAAAGGATACCTAAAGATGTGATTGCATGCGTAGAGATAATGTGTAGCATGGTCATTAATAATGCTAACAGTAGTTTCCTCTGGCAGGGAGGGTTTTGGATGATTTTTCCTTTTAACTTTTCAAAGAATTATTTACAATGAACATTATCAATTTTACCAAAGCAGTAAGACAAAATTACTGAATAAATGAAAATCCATTGTAGTAAGCCATCCTTGATTGCTTTATTTTTATATGGCATGTAAATCTGTATTATGGATGTACAAAAAAAAGGATGTTTATCATTACGTTGTAATAGCAACCTCTGCATTCATAGTATTCCACTGAAGATAAACTATATTTCGTCTATGATTTTTTGTCAGTCTATGACAAAATATGGTTTATCAGACTGACACAATATGGTTTATCTGCAGTGGAATACTATGCAGAATCAAATGAGAAGCTAAATTTATAGTTGTTATTGACATTGGTAGATACCCTGAATATATATTTAGAAAAGTGAACAGAGACATGGGATTTCATATATATTATAATTACATATATATGTAATATTTATTTCTGGGCAAAAAAGGATCTGGTTATCTTTAGAAGGGATATTATAGAATTCTGGGAATTCTAAGATCCCAATCCCCCCCACACACAAGAAAAGGAAGTAGAAATCTGTAATCCCAACTCTAAGAATTCTGAAAAGTATAGGCACAGGATCAGAGAAACTAACCTCACACTGAAACAAGAAAAAAGTGACTTTTAAACACTGGGTAAACCTCTCCATGGTGCACCTCCCAGTGCAGCAGCTGGGTGGCTGCAGTGGAAGTGAATTATAGGTCTTGCTTTCATAATGAAGGCGTCTGGGTGTCAGGCTCTGAGTGAATAGGGCAGATTTTACTGGTGGTCTGTTCAGTGTGTCTGATCTGTCTGGGAGCTGCCTGAAGGATTGAAGCCTCAGTCTGGCCTGAATCAGGGCTCTTGCAGGGCAGGGGAGGGAGCAGTGAGCAAAGACAAGGCTGTGCCTGCCTGAGAATTCCTTGGAGAAATCAGTGCTCTTGAAAGCAGTGTATACAGGGGAAGTGAGAAAGCTAATACTTTGTAATATTCTAGTGTTCTGGCTTCAACAACAAAAAATACAAGGAGACTGGAAACAATGGCCCATTTAAAGAACAAGGCAAATTGTCTTTATGGAAGCCTGGATAATAGACAGTTTAGAAGACTTTAAAACACTGTAAACCAACTAGACCTAACAGAAATGTATAGAATACTCCACCCAACAGCACCACAATACACATTCTTCTCCAGTTCACATGGATCATTCTCCAGAACAGACCACAGCTATGTCACAAAACAAGTTTTAATACATTTAAGAAAATTGGAATCATACAAAGTAACTTCTCTGACCACAGTGAAATTAAACTAGAAATTAATGACAAGGAAAACAAAAACACATAAATATGTGGAAAGTAAACAACACAATATTAAACAACCAATGGGTCAAGAGAGAAACCAGAAAATACATAGAGTCAAATGAAAATGAAAGCACAATATACCAAAATTTATGGGACGCAGCAAAGGCAATGTGAAGAATGAAATTTATTGTGGTAAACATCTACATTTAAAAATATCTTAAGTCAATAACCTAACTTTACCAATTGAGGAATTAGAAAAAGAAAAGCAAACTAAGCCCAGTGCTACCAGAGGAAGGAAATAACAAAGATCAGACTGGAAATAAAACAGAATAGAAAAACAATGTATAGAATCAATGAAAAGAGAAGTTAGGGGTTTTTTTTTTTTTTCTTTTAAAGATCAATGAAATGTTAAAAGAGAGAAGACACAAATAACTAAAATCAGAAATGACAAAATGGAGACATTACAACTGATCCTACAGAAATAAAAAAGATCATAAGAGAATAACTATGAACAATTGTACGTTAACAAATTAGGTAACTGGTGAAATGAACACATTCCTGGAAACACGAACTACCTAAATTAACTGAAAAAGAAATAGAAAATCTCAACGGGCTTGTAACAAGGGAAATGGTGTCTAAATTCAGGTCAGATATACTCAATTTAGAGATGATTTCAAGAATAGATTTGACACAGCGAATGCTAATGACCAAAGACCAGATGAGTTATGGGATGACATCAAGGACATCATACATGAAGAAATCAAAAGGAGCTCATTAAAAAGACAGGAAAGAAAGATAAGACCAAAATGGATGTCAGACGAGACTCTAAAACTTGCTCTTGAGCGTAGAGTAGCTAAAGTGGGTGGAAGAAATGATGTAGTAAAAGACCTTAACAGAAGATTTCAAAAGGCAACTTAGAAGACAAGGTAAAGTATTATAATGTGCAAATAACTGGAGTTTAGAAAGCCAAAAGGGAAGAACATGCTAAGCATTTCTCAAGCTGAAAAAACTGAAGAAAAAATTCAAGCCTCGAGTTGCAATACTAAAGAATTCTATGGGCAAAATGTTGAATGATGCAGGAAACATCAAAAGAAGATGGAAGGAATACAGACAGTCACTATACCAAAAAGAATCAGTTGACATTCAACCATTTCAGGAGGTAGCATATGATCAAGAATCGATGGTACTGAAGTAAGAAGTCCAAGCTACACTGAAGGCATTGGCGGAAAAACAAGGCTCCAGGTATTGACAGAATACCATTGATACGTTTCAACAAACGAATGTAGCTGGAGGTGCTCATTCATCCATGCCAAGAAATCTGGAAGACAGCTACCTGACCAAGTGCCTGGAAGAGATCCATATATGTGCCCATTCCAAAGAAAGGTGATCCAATGGAATGTGGAAATTATTATTAATATCACATACAAGTAAGATTTTGCTGAAGATTATTCAAAAATGGCTGCAGCAGTATATTGACAGGGAACTGCCAGAAATTCAGGCTGGATTCAGAAGAGGATATGGAACCAGGGATATCATTGCTGATGTCAGATGGATCTTGGCTGAAAGCAGATAATACCAGAAAGATGTTTACCTGTGTTTTATTGACTATGCTAAGGCATTTGACTATGTGGATCATAAAAAATTATGGATAACATTGTGAAGAATGGGAGTTACAGAACACTTAATTGTGCTCCTGAGGAACCGGCACGTAGATTAAGAGGCAGTTGTTTGAACAGAACAAGGTTGTATCCTTTCACTATACTTATTCAATCTGTATGCTGAGCCAATAATCCGAGAAGCTGGACTATATGAAGAAGAACTCAGCATAAGGATTGGAGGAAGACGCAATTAACAGCCTGCAATATGTAGATGGCACAACCTTGCTTGCTGAAAGTGAAGAGGACTTGAAGCACTTACTGATGAAGATCAAAGACCACAGCCTTCTGTATGGATTACACCTCAACATAAAGAAAACAAAAATCCTCACAACTGGACCAATAAGCAACATCATGAGAAATGGAGAAAAGATTGAAGTTGTCAAGGACTTCATTTTACTTGAATCCACGATCAACGCCTATGGAAGCAGCAATCAAGAAATCAAACAACCCATTGCATTGAGCAAATCTGGTGCAAAGTACCTCTTTAAAGTGTTAAAAAGCAAAGATGTCACTTTAAAGACTAAGGTGCATCTGACCCAAGCCGTGGTGTTTTCAATCACCTCATATGCATGCAATAGCGGGACAATGAATAAGGAAGACTGAAGAAGAATTGACACCTTTGAATTGTGGTGTTGGTGAGGAGTATTGAATATACGATGGACTGCAAGAGAAGAAACATATCTGTTTTGGAAGAAGTACAGCCAGAATGCTCCTTAAAAGCGAGGATGGGAGACTTCGTCTTACGAACTTTGGACATGTTATCAGGAGGGACCAGTCCCTGCAGAAGGACATCTTGCTTGGTAGAGGGTTGTGATGGTTAAGATTGTGTGTCAGCTTGGCTGGGCCATGATTCTCAGTGTTTATATGTGATCACTCCCATGATTGGATTTGCTATGAGTAGCGAATCAGTTGAAAGGGAGTTTCTTTGGGGGTGTGGCCTGCATCTGAATATAAGCAGATACTCTGGCTTTTTGCTCACTCTGGATCCTGTGGCTGCCTCCTGTTTGTCTGAACTCTGGTTTTTGGGACTTGAGCAATCAGCTTATCTGCTGATCTTGGATTCCTCGACCTTCATGGCCTGTGAGCGGGATCCCTGCTCTCTGACCTGCTGATCTTAGGTTCGCCAGCCCCTGCAGCTACGTGAATCAGGAGAAGCCATGCGGTCTTGCCTGCCAATCTTGGGATTCGTTGATCTTCACAGCCTGTGAGAAAGAGCTGTGCTCTCTGACCTTTCGATCTAGGGTTAGCCAGCCCCTGTAGCTACGTGATTCGAGAGAAGTCTCTATCCTGATCCACGGACTTGGGACATTCCAGCCTCTACAATTGTGTGAGCTGTTTCCTTGATATAAATCTCTTTGTATATATATATATATATGTATGCTTCACTGGTTTTGCTTCTCTATAGAACCCAGCCTCAGACAAGGGTCATTGAAAAAGAGGAAGACCCTCAACAAGATGGATTGACACAGTGGCTGAAACAATGGGCTCAAG